AATCTAATTGAAGTAATGCTTGCTTCTGCAAGCTAGAGGTATCTATGGATCATTCCTGGCAGTCAATTTTCCTAGGCAGCTTTATTTTATTTTGAGGTGGTTGGGTTCAGGTGTTTTTCCTTCCTTGAGGTTTGTATATTAAATTATATTTTCATTTTCTGATTTTATTCCTCTGATTAAAGTAAACCTTGACTTCTGAGTCTTTGATTAGCTTGGAGTTGTAACATGTATCAGTTTGTTTAATAAATATATAATGAATGTGCAATTCATCAGTTTGGGTGCTACAGTTCACTGGGTCCTAGTTATTGGGTTTATTTTTTCTTAGGGATGTGGACAATAAGCATAGACTGTTAGAGTGTTTTGAAGGAGGAAAAGGAATAGAATAGTCTAGAAAATAATAAGTATATATAATATACTTATATAATATATAAAATATATATAATATATATATATATATAATAGCCTTGGTAGTCATGCAGCTTTTTAGATTAAGTAGTTAGGGAAGAGGTGGTGACATTTGGAATTCAAACAGTAAGATAATAGTGCTTTATTGGATATGCCAATCCAAGGAACTTCTCTTTGGACTTCTAGCTGATACAATTTGAGATATTTTTTCCCCTCTTTTTTTTCCCTCTTACCCTGTTTATTTGAAGGAAATCAGTATCCATTTTCCCTTGATTTTGATTTTAGCTCATTTTTCAAGGCACAGTTGAAATTGTGTGGTGCTAGTTTCATTACTTACCTCTTTACTTTTTGTGTGCAATATTTAGTTCATCATGTATGCTCTGTGTTCGTTAGAGTATTTGAATAGAGACTTTGTTAAAGCAATTTATAGTGAGGTGTTATGCTACAAAGGGAGCAGTGGCATATGTCTGTAACCCCAGCATTAGGGAGGAAAGCTGTGACAGCAGGTCTTCAGAATAGCTAGCTAATCAGTAAGCTTCAGAGTTAGCAAAGTTACCCTGTCTAAAAAAACAAGATGAGAATGATAGAAGACACAATATGTCAACACTGGCTTCACACACACACATTAGTGATTAAGTAAAAATGAATTTAAAGCTGAGGAAATACATGTTCTCATGTTAAACTCTATTACTCAACTGAAATTGGAAGTGTGCGGACACTTACAAATACCAGTCTTTTTTCCCCCATTGTGCATTTTATGTCCTGTACCTGTTTAGGTGACGGTTTTCATTGTTACAGTGATGATTAAAATAATGTGATGGAAGCCCGCTAGACTTCCTTCTGACAGCAAGACCAAGCACTTGCCTTAGAAACAGGCTGGTGCTGTATATTTTATCTTCTTCCCCTGAAAGTATTGCTTAGAGTTGAGTATCAGACCTCATCACCCTGTAGACTGAGAAAACCTAACCTACAAAATTGTGTTAATAATGATGTCAAAGTGATGAAAAGACAGTAAACTCAATGAGCTTTTTTTAACAGAGGAATAGTTGTGTGTGTGTGTGTGTATATATATGTTTTTTTATTTACATATGAATCAATACATAATTATTCTTAACATTTGTAGCATTCATAGAATTAGATATTGTGCCCACTATTATACTTTCTTATAGCTCTTTTTTTTTTTTCTTTCAATTTATTATAGTTTGGTTCTTATGCCTCTACCTCCTTTCCAACCCCCAGACCCTAGGTAGGAGAGAAAGAAGTTTAGAAGGGAAAGGGGATGTGAGTCTCTTTAGACTTAGCTCCAGCTGGTTAGGGTCTTGGAGTTCATTAGGGCAATACCAATCTCAGTAGACAGGATATCTATCAGCAGCCTTCTTCCTTCTCTTAGCTGTCCTCCAAGCTGCTCCCCAACCCCTCTCTCTCAGACTGTTCCTTGAAGCGTTCTTGAAGTGTCCCTTCTCTCTGTCTGGCCTCTGGCATTTATATCCTCTTGGAGTTCTCAGAATGCCACTAACTGCAGCTGGGAAAGACCACTCCCTTCTCCAACCACATAAGGCAATTATCAGCAGTGGACAAACTAAAAGCAGCTCCATAGTCCGCACTTGGATTTAAAACAAAGACATAACATAACTGGGGTTTAAAGAAACCAAAACTTCCACTGTAGTTTCTTGACACTAAAGAATCTGAAAACATAAAGCTCTAATATTGCAAAGGAGTGTGTCAAATATGTTCTTGTAAAGATTCAGAGAAAGCTGGGCATAGTAGCCACACTTTAATCCCAAAAAACAAAGAAACAGAGATAGGCTGATCTTTGAGTTTGAGGCCAGCGTGGTCTACATAGTGAGTTCTAAGACAGGTCAGATTGTGTAATGAGACCCTGCCTCCTCAACGGAGCAGGGAGGGAGAGGAGGAGAGAAAGCTTGGGGTGGTGGGGGGCAGTGATACAGGCTGAATACTAGGAATTTAGAGCTAGTGATGAAAAAAGGAGCTAATAACAAACCTCATTGCTTATGTAGATGCCAAAACTACTAATTGATAGTTCTGAAGCTTACCTAATAAAATAAACATATAAAAACAGAAAATGCCATCGGGGAAATATTGATGGAGGTGGAGTTGGTTGGGAATTAATTGTTTCTGAATAGATGAATGCCACAGTTGTTAAAATAATGTACTGACTGTTACAGATCTGTGGAACCAAATTGAGGTTTTTGGTTAAAAAAATAAAAGTGCAAGGATAAGTATATTTAGTATGTTTAAGTCTGGTTGTCCAGTTGGCCTAGAAGATTATAATCTGTGGGGATTGCAGGATAGTATTTGGGTAAAGATAAAACCAATTTCTACTCTACTCTTATACAAACATAACATTAATAGGCCAAGTAAATTTTGACTCCTAAAACTAGAGAAGTAAAGAAAGTAAATGCCAGTGTGTTTTTCAGACAACTCAGCAGTGTCAGATGTGTACCAAACAAAATGCTAGGGTCAGGGAAAGCATTATTTGCTATACATTTGAAACAAGGAAAATACCTTGAAAAGGCCATAGGTATCAGAAAAGTCAATAAAAGATAAATCATCCAGAAGAGAACTGCATAAATTACATGCGTAGTTCATGAACACATACAGATCACCAGGAAATATCTAGTCTTACTTAACAGTCAAGTTTGAAGCAAAAATGTTTTAAAGCAAGATAATATTTTGTATTATTTCATATCAACTGGCAGATATTTTCAGTTTACTTCTCAGTAATAGCATGATGTAGAAAGTGTGAATTGATATACAGTATAGGTCTACTTAGTACAAGAATCACACGAAAATGTAAAAAATGAGTGACGAACATTTTTAGAGGATAGATAAATATGTTATGTGTTTACTGTGTTAGAATATGACATACTTCTACAGGACCATACAGTAGGTATGAATGGATAGATATTTATGTTTTGGTGTAGGAAAATATGCAGGTTGTAAAGGAGATAACTAGTATGTAACAAAGATATTTTAGTACAGTGAATCCTATCAAGTTCGATAAATCCTGTATCTGCATAGTGAATATAATTGAAGGAAACACATGACAGTAATTGTGGCTTTTCTTTCTTTCTTTCTTTCTTTCTTTCTTTCTTTTTTTTTCTTTTTTTTTTGCAAGAAATTTGTCAGGAATTGTTTTTTACTTTGTATTCTGTACTCCTAGTGGTGGTCTTTTTTGTTTGTTTTTAACATGAACCTTTATTTTACAAGTAGAACTTAATTTGAATGAGTTTTTGATGTCTGATATATATACTAACACTTTCAAAATACAATCTTGCCAGAAAACCTCCTTCTGTCTTTATTGTTTTAAAATGCAAGTAAGGGCTGGAGAGAGTTAAAAGGTTCAATTCCCAGTACCCACTTGATGACTGACAACCATCTTTAACTCAGGTTCCGGGGGTTTTATGCCCTCTTCTGGCCTTTTCAGGCACCAAGCATACACACGATACACAGACATACATGGAGGGAAAACATACAGATGAAGTAATAAATGTCAAAATGGCAGGTAATTGTTCTCTCCCTAAAAATACTTAGAAGAAATCTGACAGTTGAAACAAAATTATTTCTTAACTGTACTGAGGCAAATTGCTACATTGAGTTGGATGTAATGCTTAGTGTGATTTCTTTTAAAGCATATCCCAGAAGGAAAGTAAAGTTTAGATATATAAGTGACTTTTATTAAAACTTAAGTTTTCACAGGTAAAAATGGTTGCCCATGATCATTTGCATTATTATACTTTGTATTATTTAGATTTTTCTCATCTTTCTTAACATTTCTCCAAATGTTATCCTGAGAAAAACCAAAAATGTCATTGACAGTGCCTTTGCTTTCAAGTCTTCTTCAGGAATGATACGATTTGGTCAAGGGTCAAAAACACAAAGCTCTGTGTATTTAATATGAATGCTAACATAAGTTTTATCCTTAGGTTTTCTTTCATCTATTTTAGTATTTAGTTTCTATAGCAACTGAGGTATGGTTTATAGCTGGGTCAAAAAAGAAATGTGTAGGTGTTGAGAAACTTATTTTTTAACCTGGAAGGAAAAGGTATGAGGTAACACCTTTTCAGCTTTTACAGACTGCATCTGATTCCAGGAATTCTGTATTTGATTGATAGGTGTCATTGTCAGACTTTCACAGTGTCAGGAAAGATTGCTGATTATTTATTCTACTATAAATAGTCACATTACTTAATTATCCAAATTAACAAAATAGCTCAAAGAGAGAACTGTCCTGTTGTGGAAGAATTGTAGTTCTTAGTAGAATTCTTCAAATAGAATGTCTCTGCATTTCTTAATAAAGCTTTTCTTTAAAGAGGTCATCTCTTGTCAAGTGTGATTGGTAGAATTTAAGTCTATAGACATTGTAACTAGAGATACTAGATTTCCTGAGCCACTTAAATGGCAGAAATGTAGTCAGAAGCCCAACCAGCTACTATAAAGGAAAGACCAAAGGAGTGCTTTATCCTTTATTGTTACATCTTTTAACAGTCTGTGTCAAACTTCAAATGGAAAATCTCCCCCCCACCTTTTAAGTTATTGAAGCTGGAAGATTAATGCTTTTCTCAATATTATAGGAACTACCTTCTGTTGAAGAACTCACTGTTACTTTGCCTGAAGATATTGAGCTGAAGCCTCTTGGAATGGTTTCAAGCATTATTGAACAATTAGGTATGTAAGTAACTTATATTAACAATATGTTCAAGCATACACTTATAATAGGTTAAGGACTTGATGTATCAAGTTTTCACTGAAACATGTACACTCTATCTTAATCATTAAACTTAATACAATATTCAGTGTTTACTTAAATATACTTTTTCTTATTTTTGATGACTTTTTAAGAATTTTCTTTGATTTCATTTATTTTATTGGCTGTAACAAGATGACACAAATTTGTGACTTAAAACACCACAGTCTTTCTATCTTAACAGCTGTGTGGACTTGTAGTCTTATAGAGGTCTGAACTTAGTAGGCTAAAATGAGATGTCCATGAATACTAGCACTTTCTTAGGCTATGTGAAGGATCCCTCCCTTTCTTTCTTTTTGGTTTCTAGGCCCAGGCCACATATTTCCTGTCTCGTGTCTCTTCTTTGTTCTTTTGTTTGTTTTGTTTTGATTTTGAGACAAGGTGTATGTAGCCCTGGCTGATCTGGAACTTACTCTGTAGACCAGGCTGGCCTCAGACTCAAGAGATCCACCTGCCTTATTCTTTTATTTGTTTGTTTTTTAATTTATTTTTATATTAATTACTCTTTATTCACTTTGTATCCCAGCTGTAGCCCCCTCCCTCATTCCTTCCCAATCCCACCTTCCCTGCCTTACATCCTCCCAAGCCCCACTCCAAGTCCACTGATAGGGGAGGTCATCCTCCCCTTCCATCTGTCCCTAGCTTATAGTTCTCCTCAAGACTGGCTGCATTATCCTCCTCTGTGGCCTGGCAAGGCTGCTCCCCCCTCAGGGGGAGGTGGTCAAAGAGCCAGCCACTGAGTTCATGTTAGAGACAGTCCCTGTCCCCATTACTGGGGAAGCCACTTGGACACTGAGCTCCCATGAGCTACATCTGAGTAGGGGTTCTAGGTTATATCCATGACTGGTCCTTGGTTGGAGTATGAGTCTCAGAAAAGACCCAGATTTTTTGGCTGTGTTGCTCTCCTTGTGGAGCTCCTGTCCTCTGCAGGTCCTACTATCTCCCTCTTCTTTCATAAGATTCCTTGCACTCCTGCCTCATTCTTAAAGCCAGGAATTTCTCTTCTGTTATCTTTTGTCCATCATTTCTTCTGTTTTTGATTATCCCTTGGAATGGTTTTCTGCACAGCCAGGAGAATTATTAGTAGTACCTCCTGAGAATGAAAAATCTCCTCATATCATTCCTCTTCTCTTCTTTGACCATGAGAAAGTATGGAGGCTGTTACTTCGTCCCTAAATGTGTATTATATGTAGAAGAGACAGAGATTTTCCTTCAAGGATGAACTCCATCCTCTCCCATTAACCTTGGTTTGCTCCGGTTAGAAGTTTGCAGAATTTCTTAGAAAAATGAACAACCAAGGATCATGTGATTGACCCTACAAGGCCCTAGGTGCAGGGGTTTTCCCTTACATAACCCACTCAATGTGGCTTAAGTTTTCTGTTCTGCATCCCAAGATTGTATATGGTGGGGAATTTGGCAGTTACACTAATTCTTAAAATAAAATAAATTCAAAAAGCTGCAGTTGGCTGACAAAGCCATACAATTTTGAATTTGAGAAAGCAACTATATTACAAGTCCTATTAATTTGTAAAACCTGTATAAGACAGAATTCAAGTCTTGTTTCTTTGATCAGTTGTAAAAATAGCTGAAGTAGAACTTTATTTTTTGACCCTTTCCTAAACAATAGCTATGTCAATATTTTTATAGATCAGTACTTATCATAATTTTGTCATTTTTGATTTAAATTTGAATTAAAGCAAAAGTATTTTTATAGAAATAATTCTTAAACTTAACTCCTGTTACTGCATGTACATAAACTTCATTATACATATTTCTTTACATTTTATTTATTTACTGCGTATGTTTGTATGTTCATGGGTCTCCTGAATTTCACATTATGCATTTATATTTAGAACTTAGAACTAACCATTAATTGAAGAAATAAATTGAGGTACAACAGAAAAATTCTGGGTTACCTTTAATAATAAGAACTTCATTTCCAGTGAAAATGGCATTATCTGTATAGTAAAATAGTGATATGTGTTACTGTAACTTTTTGAGTGCTATGGTGTGTATGTGTTGCACGTTACTGTGTAAAACAGCTTAAAATCTGTAGCATTTGTAAGAATGCTATAATATAATACATATATATAATGCTATAATATATATTATATATAATGCTATAATATAATATAATCTGTAGCATTTATAAGAATTGTGTATTACGCTAAACCCTTGGGATAGCATATGTTTGTTTTTTTGAGAAGAAAGATATGGAATAGAAATTACAATGGGCCCGTTATCACCTTGCTTTCATTTATTCAAAGAAATATGCTTTCATGACTTTTCATTTGTTAGTAGGAAAGCAAAACTTTGTAGGACAGTTTCTGTTCTCTTTAATAGAAATGTTGAGACTAGATGATATATTTGTTAAAAACTATTTAAAAATGTACACAGCTTAAATTTGTTTAAGCCTAAAGACGGGGTTTCCCTGTGTAGCCCTGGCTGTCCTGGACCAGGCTGGTCTCGAACTCACAGAAATCTGCCTGTTTCTCCTCTTGAGTGCTGGGATTAAAGGCGAGCACCACCACGCCTGACTGAATTACAGTTTTTTCTATTAAAATAACAATCTATCTTGGTTTGCTAATTAAGATTTTATTTACTAATGAATAATTACTGAAGTATGTTATGCCTCCTTAAATTTTAGGTTATATTGCACTTAAAGCTTAGGTTATATTTAAAATACTAGTTGATCTTTTTAAACCATAATCTGTCTTCTCTTGTCTATTTTTCAGTAATAATTGAGTCTATGGCTAATATACCTCCAGTTAATGAGGATACTGTCATTTTCAAAAGTGATCGACAAGCAGCAGGGAAGGTTTGTTAAAACTCACTCAAATTATTGTTACTTTGTTTTCTAGTTGCTCTTGTTTGTCCTAAGAGTTTATTAGACAAGTCATCAAGTTTTAATTCATTCTTGATTCTTTATGTATTTCATAAATTGGCTTACTATCCCGTAGAATTCTTTGCCATATAGATCAGTACATTCCCATGTGAAGAATTTTTTTTCTCTTTGTTAGATACAAGGGCAGAAGTTCTAAACACTAATTTCTTAGCAATTTAGTTCTTCCTAGATGAGATTTTTGTTTGTTTGTTTCAGGAGAGTAAAGTAAGTTACATTGAGTCGGAAAAAGGGAATATTCCTGGGAGAACTCAAATACCTTTCTCTGTTCTCTGCTTTCTCCACTGTTTTTAATTTTAAAACAGATTAGAAAGTATCAAGTTTTACTGAGTTCTGTCACCTTTCCTCACCTACATATGTTAAATCTGGCAGGCTTGTTTACCATGGCCAACTGCAAAGCAGTGGGTGACAGAATTTATTGGCATTGAGAATTTTTTCTTTTGGGGGAAAGCTGTGAAGGGAGGCAGGTTTGGGTGTGGAGGACAGTGTGTGCTTTTCCTCCTCTGAAATGGTTTTGATGCCAGTGTGCATCTCCACACCAGATAAAACAATCTTAGGGTGAATAGAGGGAAAGAGTGGGAGAGGCTACATGACCATGCTGTGCATAGCTTTCTGTGCCTAGTGTACTATTTCAGAAGAAACCAGATTTGCCCTGGCAGAAACAGAATGCTTCTTGCTGGCCTCAAGGAAGTGGTAACAGACAGGGGAGGAAAGAAGCAAGGAAAATTGTTACTTAATTTTTCTTTTAATTTGAAATAAAATTACTGAAATTGATTTTTTCTTTAAATCTTATTACGGTTTTCATAACATTTGCTTTTTTCTCATGGTAGCTCCCTTAGGCAGTTTAAATTTCAAAATACATGCTTTACCTATTTAATGTTAAAATGGTGTTCTTTAGGTTTTTTTGTTGTTATAGCTGTCATCCTGTCTGTCCATCCATCTCATCCCATCCACCACCACCACCACCACCACCCCATGAAGCCAGGGTTTGTTTGTGTGTGTGTGTGTGTGTGTGTGTGTTCCTTTTGTAGACCAGGTTGGCCTGGAAACTCACACATGATTCTGTCTCTGGATTGCTGGGATTAAAGGTGTGTGCCACCACACTTGGCCTACAAATGGCATTTATAACATTTTTATACCACAAATACATGGGAATTTTCAGACTAGTCAATGCATTAGATGAAAATTATATGCATGGAGGTAAAAATTACTTCTGGGTTTAAATTTTATTTAGAGAACTTTGTAAAATTGAAAAGTGGTAGGTAATCCAACATTCGATGGTCTGAGCAGAATTGAATGAGATCCTATCCTAAACAAAGAAGGAAATAAAACATAGTTATAGGTCTGTCACCTTTTCTCTGAAATGGGTTTGAAGTAGAGTTGGCTAAAGAAATTTGTGAAACAAAACAGTATCCAGAATAAGAAATACAAGCTGTTTTAGGTCTCTTTCCTGATAGATTTCTGTTTGGGAGAAAATAGGAGTAACCTGGTCTAGCGTGACTGACTCTGACCTGGAGAGTGGGTAGAAGGGAGGTGTAGCTCGTTCTCACTCGAGGCTGTGTCAGCTGCCAGGTCCACACACAGTTGGGCCTTTGCCATGCAGCATTCAAGAGACCTGAGAAGAGCTACGAGATAGGAACTTGGGGACTGCATACTGTGTTACGACTTGTTTCCTCACAGCTTCATATGCTGTATAAGTGCCATTTTGTGGTAGTGGCATGTGTTAACTGCTTTGACAGGAATCCTTTGTATAAAAATTTTATAGGATATACCATATTTAAGATTCTTGTAGGTGGCTCAGAATAAAAGTCTCAGTTCTTACTGCTTTTTTATGCTTTTCTTCTCGCAGTGTAAAATTTCCTATTTTAATTTCATATTAGGTGGTGTGCAGTTACAGACTTTCTGAAGTTGAGTAGAATGTTAGGGTAGGGGTGCAGAGAACTTGTAGGGACTCTGAGGAGGCACACTACCCAGAGCCCTACTGCAGAGCTGCTCTTCACATTTTCATCCTTAGGTGTTGCTCAACATCAGATATATACTCTGAGGTCCATCCATAAGGTTCTGGATTGATTGATTCTTTGTGTTGTTTAAAAATAATGCTACTACATTCTTCTTTTAAATAATCTTTATTAGGTAAGTTGTTAATTCGAACTCAGCCAAGTTTTCCTGTGACTGAGTTACAACCATGAACACCACTGAGCCTGTGCTAACCTTCCCATTACTTCCCAATACTTTTTTTTTTACTTAAAACTTTATAATGGAGTAGTTGCAGCTCTGAAGCAAAAATACTTCAGGTCTAAAGAAAGGATTAGTTTAAATGTATACAAGAATTTTCAGTGTTGCAGTTTTAGAATAAGCCAAGCTCTATGTAAGCCTTAAGTTTCAGAGGTATCCTTAGGTGAAATCACTGCCAAAGTTAAGTGGCCTCATACTCTCCAGGGAATGAGACCCTGGGGATGAGCCTCATGTACCAGTTACAGTGATTACCTTGTATAATTGGAGTTATAAGAGGTTTTTATTATGATGTAGATTATCACTATTTTATCCTGTTTATCCAGGAAGTTAGAAGTTTCCGGTTACTAAAGGTCAGATAATGGAATGCCTTAAGTTGTTACAGTATAGGCCAGTTAGAGTGACAGTGCTGACAGTCCTTCATCCCTGCAGCTCTCCTTGGAAGAAGTCTAGTTTTCTAAACATTTTTAAAGCTTTTATCTTGCTGTATTACTGAATTATGGTTTTAGTTTTTAAATTAGAAGAAGTATTAATATTAATGTTGCTACCTTTAGTTTTTATTTTCTTTACCACTGCGTATTTTTAGAGTATTCATAAACTTAAGAATAGTTTTATCTTGTTAGGCTTGTCGTTTTGTTGTGTAATGAAGATGAATAAGATACTGAACCACAGAATGAGAACACCTAGCCAACCACGCACTGAGGGGTGGTAAAACAGGCACACTCTGTGAGTTAGTTAGTTGGTAAAGATTACACTCTTTAATCTTCATGCTCTCAGCTGTGACAGTCGCACCGCTTCCAGATCAAGGCTAGCGTATGACTCCATCTTCACATGTGCAACTGAATGCATGTGAAACACCCTGAAACTGCCTGAGCTCGTAGTACAAGGTAATAAAGTGTGCCTTGGAGGAGGATTGTTATGCACTCACCGTAGCTATGGAGAACAGAACTTGGAGCAGGGATCCAGCTCATGCCTCCATGCCTGGGATTGCAGCTCTAAGCACTGTCCCAGCTGCTCTGCTCCACTTTCCAAAACATCAACATTTGACAAAAGCAACATAATTGATACTTTAGCTTGCTTTTATGTTTTACATGTAAGATCCCTACTTTTGGCTGTGTTCCGTAGTTTCTAGGAGTTTATAATTCATATTTGTATCTAGCAGGTACCACCAAAATAATTTTAATTTACCAGAAAACAAACTTGCTATTGTTTTATTTGCAAAAAAATAAATTTGCAATAAACTATTGCATTTGTAATCAAAATATAAAATCTTCAAGTGTAAAATTAAATAATTTACTACATAGAATTGCCTTGTTTTAGCATTTATCAGTGTTTATAAAAATCTTGCTACTTTTTTAAATCATTATTGAAAGATACATATTCCGTGTCTTCTGTTTTGTAGATATTTGAGATATTTGGACCTGTTGCCCATCCATTTTATGTGTTACGGTTTAATTCTTCAGATCACATTGAGAGTAAAGGTATCAAAATAAAGGACACTATGTATTTTGCTCCGTCCATGAAAGACTTCACTCAGTATATATTCACAGAAAAACTCCAACAGTAAGTGCTTTACTGCTATGTTCTTCCTGTGTGAGCAATTTACATTTTAAGAGTGATTCTCCATAGATGGCGGTTTCTTCTACTTAAATGGTGGCTGTATTCCAGAGAGCTCATTTTTCTTTTCGTGAATAACTTTGAGGGCTGTGATTTGTCATCAGCATTAACAGGTAGAAAATATGTAATTTTCTATTTTACCCAAATAACATGATCAGCCACTAGGATTACATCACTTGTAGAACATAAAGCTTTATAAATTCCATTATATATTTTATTATACAAACTACTTCAGTATTAGTATTACTGCACAAAAAAATATTTCCAATAAAGTTACAAGTTTAAAGAACTGTTTTTAGTTTGTTTTTTGTTTGTTGTTTCTTTGTTTAAGGTAGAGTATCATGTATCTCAAGCTGGATTCATTCCTGACCATCCTGTCTCCTTCACACTGCTGCTAAGTTTATAAGTTTGTACCACCATTCCTAGCCTTATAAAAATATTCTCAGATGTACCACATAAGAAGTTCCCTGTACATTTTTATATTAAATCAGTTTTCTAAAATTCATTTTCTATTTTCAGAAGTGAAACTTTGGTCTTTATACAAGTCATCTGTAAGAATCTGATGGAGAACCATTTGGCCTCAGTTATTTTTCTAGCTTTGTGTACTTGATTCTCCTACATGAAGTAGTGACAGGATAAATTAAATAGATACTAAGTCATAAGGGCTTTATATTTATTTTTCCTTGAAAAATAAGATGTTACCCTGTGTATGCCCCACATATAGAACCTTTAACAGATACCCAAAAAGGTTTTCTAAAAATACTTACAAAATAGTTACGTAAAAGTGGTTCTTTATTCTTGATTTTCAGTTCTTAGAAGAAATACGAGTAAAACAGAGAAGTGAACAGTAAGGCTGTACTGTAGAAATACTCTCCCATTTATTCATTTTGATGTCTTCTTGTACCTACCTGACTGTAGAGCTTGGCTTTCAGAGCAAAGTATTTCTGCCCCGTCGCAGTTCCACCCCTAACAGGCTAGTTTAGTTAGCTTTTTGTCGCTTGCTGTTTTGTTGCTTGTTGTTTCCTTAGTGAATTTGGGTTGCTTAAATTTTCCTGTTACCTTTATCAACTCCAGACTGAGAATCCTATGCATCATCTCTAGTACTGGCTGTATTCAAAGGGAACACTGAATTTATATGAGGTAAACAGGTTAATGACAGCTGACTGCATGATAAAACAGTCATTGATAAGTGGACAGATTTGAAATCACATTCCGGCTTTGCAAAATATTACCTGGGCCATCTCCAAAGCCACCATATTTCTGAGCCTTGAGTTGCTCATCTTTCACTTGGGTAGACTCATGACCAGGTACAGAGCACAGAAGGACTTAAACCAGGAAGGGTGTGCACCTCTCCCAATGCCTACATCCAATAAATGATGCCAACACTGGCTTTTTTTATGCCTGTTTCCTTCTTAGTTATTCCAGCAAAACATTTCAGGGCAGGCTTTGATTGGGCTGCCTGATGTCATGGGTCACCCCCTGATCTGGTTACTTCGAACTCTGATTGGCCTTTCAGTCCTCTGCTCTCCTGTGAGCTGATGACCACTGACTCTAATGGAAAGTGCAGGATGCTGCGTGCACCTTGAAGCTTTAGCTAGGTGTGGAGTCACGCCTACCCAAACTGTAAGGGCTGAGAATCCTGAGTCCCAAAGAAACTGATTATATTCTGGAAGAAAATGAGCTACATGAGGAAACTAAAACAATGCCCCGGGCTACTTTGGAGGATCAACAGGGGCCCTGATAAGCCCCTGAGACCACACAGACATGGGAGTGTAACGTATACAGTATGTGTTTCCATGGGAGGAAACCTGCAACAAAGCATCCATGAAGGAGGCTGGAGCTTGATGCAGTGGCTTCTCAAGACACGGAGAGTAGAGGCTGGACAGTGGTTCTTTGGATAAAATACTTGTTGTACAAGCGTAAAGGCCAGAGTTCATATCCCCAGCACCAGAGTATCAGGCACACACTGTGGCTACCTACAGTCACAGCACTCAGGAAGAAGGGGGACAGAGGATGCCCAGAACAAATTGGCTGGCCACATCAACAATCACCAGGTTCGGGTGACAGATTTTTGGCTCATGAATAATGTGGAGAGCAAGCAAGGAAGACATCAGCTTCAGGCCTCCACTCTTACACACACTTTTGTACCTACACACACACACACAAATACAGAGAGAGAGGCAGACAGACAGACACACACACACACAGAGATTCCAGAGAGCTTGGGAATTTTTCCAAGACTGAAATGTCAGGTAGGTACAATTGGGTTGAGCATGCTACCCCAAAGACACCACGGCTCCCTGGCCAGAAACCAAGACCTCCATCAGGGAAGTGTAGGCAGAGCTTCTGTCAATGGACATAGGTACTCCCAGCCAATGCTCCAAAAGCCACATTCAAAAGCCATATTCACCTCCACTCCCAGCCCTGTCCAAAGCCTCCCCTGAGGATCCCTGCTGAGCCCATCGCACAGACACTGGGCACGGAAGGTACACAGACATACACAGGCTCCCGCAGTAGAAACAAGTGACTCCAGGGAGCTCTGTGTTCTCCTGACACCTCCTACCTACTCAACAGGACCCAGAAGCCATGGAACCCACTCATAATATAGGGCCCCTCAAAGTACCAAGACCCATGATAGGGTCCAAGGCCTGAGATAAGTTCTGGTTGAGCCCTCAGTCATTGTAGGCTCATACATCATCGTGCTAAAGCATGGCTAGAGCTCTGGCCAAGGCCTGTTCACGCTAGTCCTTCCCTCTCCTGAGAGGGACCACAGAGTCATTTCTGTCCACTCCAGAACCCCCACTGAAACAATCAAACGGGACTCACTTCTGACTATTCCTTGGGAGCCACAAGCCATGTTTCGAGGCCACCAACTCATGCTATGGGGACATAGAGGTCTGGGGTGGCCTTAGCTGTCCAGAACCAATATCCAGGCCTCTTCTCTCCTTCTTCTCCTGCCCTGTCCTTGTTCCACAACAGTAGTCTAATTGCCCAGGTTGATGTTTCTATCAGAACTGAGACCCTCTGGGTGAGAGTGTTTTTGTCACCTCACCAAGACAACTAAAGAGTGGATTGCCTTTGTAAGAATCTCTGATTGCGGTACTACAGAAAGGAAGTGTCAAGCTTGTCCGTTTGTTGGCTCTTAGTAGCATTTGAAAGCCTACCAGTTGTGCTCAAACTTTTGACATTATGACATGATGTTGTCTACAAAATCCACACCTTGAAATTGCAGTCATATTACAAACACACACACACACGCACACACAGCTTAGTGTTAGATTTATGATTTCATGTTGAGCTGCTTTGTAGCCATCCTCAGCTTCATGTAGTCACAGGCTAGATGTCTAGAACTCAACAAACAGTGGTAACTTTAAGGACGTCAGCAAACACATAGAGAGAGTGGCAGGGAAAGTCACCGTGCCTAGCAAACACAGAGACTCCCACCTGCCACCATTGATTAAACAGCTTCATCTCAACCTTGGGTTGCTCAGACTCTGATCTGGCAGATTAATTTTGTCTTAATCTTCAGCTAGTGAAAATATCAGAATGGAGGCACCATATATAATGTCAAAGATCTCAGTTAAATTTTTAAAGCAATTTAGTGTTCATTCTGTAACATCAATGTCATTGTTACATTGATTTTAGTGGCACTAAATCTGGAGCATCTCATTTATTTTTAAGGTCTAATTTAAAATAGTGAGTACATCTGGTCAGAATAATTTGTATTAATGTAGCTGAATAAGAAAGATCCCTGAAACCATGAAATAGTTCATATTAAACAGATTTAAAATGAAGTTTCAGAAATTATAATTATACTCTAAATACTTAAACTTTTTCACATTGTAAAACTTCCCACCAAAATTACTGATTTCATCTCTAATAACTCATTTCATATAGGCGTCTGATAAAGCACAGTGTCTCACTGTTCCTCCTTCACAAACTCACCAGTCTTTGGTTTTGAGAATCACTCACAGAGAATTAATTGTTGGTTTTTCTTAGGTGAGTTAAGGAAAGACAACTTGTGGCTTTGCCTTTGTCCCATGAAGCTCTAGAGAGAGTTGCTCTGTTATTGTTCATGTCTGCAGCAGCTAGAATATCTTCTTATGTGTGGGTGTGGAACAAATTTTATACAGAAGTCAGGCATCTTGAAAATGAAAATCAAAAGAACAGAACCGCTTACTTTGCACCGTATACATAGCCTTTTATCCCAGTTCCCAGTGCCAACACTTACATGTGTCCCAGCGTGTGTGTTTCTTATAAAATGCCACGTTATTTGAGATTGGTAAAGGACACAAAAGATAGTCTTTTAGTTTCTTCCTGTTCACATATAACAGAATCTGATCTGTTCTAGGGACCGAGGATCGGATGCCTCTTGGAAGAATGATCAGGAACCACCTCCAGAAGTTAGTATGAACCTTTTCACTTACTGTTTCACAAGGCAGCACATGCCTTAATTATATACATTGTTCATTCATTCCAACTTATAATTCTCATTTTATCAACTTTGTTGATAGACAAAATGGTATTCCTTAAAGTCGAGTTTTTTAAGTTTAGTGACAGTCACTGTGAGACCTGATGGCCCTTGGCTGTGATGCAAAGCAAGCCACTCATTGGGCCTGGGGATGGAGTCATGAGCAGATGCCTGACTCTACTCCTCATGTATGTGCAACACAGTTACTCTTCTGAAACTCCATCTCTTATTTTTGTGTCCATGTATGTCACTAGGACCTTAGTTTCATCTCCTGAGTTGGGCTAATGATTTAAACCGCCTAGAGCTGTGGAATTTATTTGGGAATCACATGCAAATGAGTAGTGATTATTTGTTTCCATTCCAGGTGATAGAGAATAGGATATTCTAAAGATTTTGTGGTGGTTTTGGTTTAATTGAAGATTTAATTTCTGAATACTTCAGATATCTCAAACAGTACTGAAGTTCTTGGTCTGGATTAATTTCTAACTTTTTTGAGATATGAACCAGGTTTATGTCTGCTCCAGGAGATTTTACAGGCATGAATTACTTAACTCAGGGAGTGGACTATCTTGGTATCTATACCAAAAGGTGTTTGGTTATTCACATGGGTCTTAAATTAATCCTGTTAAATCTTCATTTTAGTCCTCAAGAGTAAAGTTAATTTTGGTAATACTAAGTTTTTGTGAAATTGGTTTGATTCAGGTTGTGTTTTACAGAATTAAATCTCACATGCTGTATGATTTTGGTTTTGGGGGGGTGGCAAACTAGTTTATAAAAATGTTAGATTTTAATTTTATATAGTTGTTAATGACACCTTACAGTCTAGAAGAATTCTCTAATTTTAGACCATGGGAAAATGCTAGACATTCATAAAAGACCTAAAGATTTCTTAGAAATAATTCTTAGTCATCTTTACTTACAATTCTAATGTATATATGCAAAATTTATAGTTGCTTTAAATATTACATGAATGCAAAATTGAAGTTATATTATAAAAATTATTTTAGGGGATGAGAGCAAAATTTACTCAAAGTAATCTCTAAAACTTCTCCCAATTATAAATTTTTCCCTCACTCCTGAGAAAGTAGTTCTAATTCTGTTGTATGAGAGAAAAGCTCTGGTTTGCTTTACAAAGCATTTTGTTTTATGTGCCTTGTTCTTTTTACTGTGTATATATTCTCAATCCATTCATGCCAGAAAGTCTCACTTCCTTCACTCTCCTTGCTCAGCCTGGCACTCTTCTAACACTGTCAGTATGTGTGCATCATAGTTCGTATTCTGAAGAACGAGATTGAACTTACTATAATGTTAGCTGATGGGCAATGCCTGTGTCTAAGTTTGAGTGAACCAGTCATAGAATGATGTCTTTGATTTCTGTTTTGGATCTGGTGACATGTGAAAATAGCTTAGTCTTCATTACTGCTTTCTTTGTCAGCTGGCATGATGATGAATCTTAAAGCAGGATTTAAAGCAGGACTTCTGGCCAGGGCATGGAATATGTATTCCATCTCTGAAGGATGCTAATTTGGGCATTTTAAAGTTACCTACTTGTCTGAAGCTTTCTAGGAATTAAATAAACTGGGAGAAAAAAAATAAGAGTATCCAGCTTAATAAAATTATTAGGACTTAAAAACAAAGTAACCAGTTTTTCTTGTCACATATTAATAGATAGTATTAAGTTGAAATGAGCCACCTTTCCTCATGGTCAGTGAGTAAGCAGCAGTTTGAGCCTCAACTACAAGTGCCTACTGTTTCATTGGCAAACGAATAGTAAGTGAATCTCTACTTTTCTCTGTAAGGCCTTGGATTTCAGTGATGATGAAAAAGAAAAAGAAGCCAAACAGAGAAAAAAATCTCAACTTCAAGGCCGGAAAAAACTCAAATCCGAATTGAATGAGTCAAGTGAGTGTATTATTTTTTTATAATCATTTTTGGACTTTATCTGCAAATATGTAAGTAAGCATTAATGAGAACGCCAGGGTTTTCTCCATTTATCTCCTAGTGCCCCTCGCGTAGGAGGCATTGCACAGCATGGGCTGTGTCGAGAGCCCTTTGATGTGCTCCATCTGAAGCTATAGTAACAAGTTGAGTCTGATAGAGGCAGCGTGCTTACAACGTGGTTTTCTCAAGAAACCTATTTGCCCATGTTTAGAATTCAGTAGTATGCCACCCATGTCACACTATGTATTTTTACTTTCCCTTTTAGAATCTTTTCTTTTTAAAAATTAAACTTTTTGAGATAATTGTAAATTCACATAGTTGTAGTAAACAACAGGAGAGATTTATTATGTGCCCTTTACCCCCATTTCTTTCACTTGCAACATCTTGTAAATTTGCTATCTCACATCTAGGATTATTATTGAGGTGATATCCTCAAGGCCCTGTATTTCTAAGGCCAGAGTGGAATGCTCCTTCATTTGCAATCTAGTTGTGGCTGCTTTCTCATATCAGTTCACAACAAGCATCTGTCTGTTTTTCTGCTCCTTCTCTGTTTTGTAGTGCTTCATGGCCTTGCGTGTACAGGTGCTTACCCCTGGGTTGCTTTGTCAGTGCTATTCTCCATTTCTTAATATCTGTGGCCATTTCAGGAATGTAACTGGAATCCTGCAGTGGATTACACAGCTGTAAATATCACACATTAGCTTTTGCTGCTAATCATGGTTTCCTGAAAATCCATGCAAGTTGCCAGATGTGTAGATTGTTTCTTTACGGACGGGGGATATGCATCATGCATTTTCAAACTACTTAACCATTAAGAAATATCTGGCCTGTTGGCATTTTTAGTTAGGAGTAAATTTATAAATATCTTTGTACAGGTTTTTAAAAATAAATTTTGATTTGTCTAGGACAAATATTAAGCAAGAATGTAGCCATCCTGCTCAGCCTTGAGTGTGGGTGGGAATAATGCTGTGGGATTTTTGTGGTGTTCGGATGCAGTTACTGCTAAACGTTTTTGTCTTGCTGGCTTTTCCTAATCCTTAAGCAGTAAGTTGTGCCTTTTCAGTTCATTTAAAATTGAGTTTTCTGTCATGTTAATAACTTAAGGGATAGAGTTCAGTTTTTGATATATTAAACTTGATATATTAAACTGTATTTTAATTTTAATTTTGCTTTTCTGCCATCAAAGGTGAAGATGTTGGTGAAATGCATCAGAATCGGAATGCTTACGGCTCTCTTTCAGAACATTCAAAAGGATATCAAAACAGGGAATTCCCTCGAGGCTTTCCCAGGGGAAGATACTCTCGAGGAAGCCACAGCAGGCCCCCACCTCATCAGTTCTATAATTCAGACCACATGGCATCTCAAGAGACTTTGGGGTTTCCACCTCAGAGACAAGATAATCCCGTCATGCCCCACTATCCCTTTCCCCCGCCCATGTTTGATATGCATAACTTTTCAGTCCCACCCCCGCCCCCGCCTCCACCTCCTTCTTTGAGCATGGGATGGGCTGCACCTAACATGGCCTCTCATCCTTTGCTTAATTTACCATACTCTCTGCCCCCACCACCTCCTCCTCCACCTCCCTCTCCTGGGGAGAGTAATTCTTCACATTTTGGACGTTACTATTAGGTCTATGTTTGTATATCAGAGAAATATGAACTGTGCAGATTATATGGTAAAGAATTTTTTAAGGAAAATCTATTATGGAGTTTGAGTTTTTTAAAACATTGTAAAATACTAAATGAAATGACTCAGTTGTACGTTCATATATATTTCAAATATATTTCAGTTGTGAGTTCATATATATTTGTAATGGTATTTATAGGGACAGTTCATCTCATTCTTGGAGAAGAATCCAGTTCAGGTAATATTTTAAATAAAATGTTGAATCATGTCCTCCACTATCCCACCCAGGAAACAGCATGCACAGTAATGGTTTTGTCATGTGCTGAGTACTGGTTGTCTTTCTAGTATAATCTTAACATGTTGAAGTCCTACTAAGAGTCTTTAAAGCATTTTTATAAACTTGACACCCTTGGAATTGACTACAAGTGTTAAGAATTCTTTAAATTTTATTTCCTTACGCAAGTTACGAGTGTGAAGGAGAAAGACGCCATTGGAAGAAGCTTTCAGTAGCTGTTTGGCTTTAACTATACATTGACAACTTCCACTGTCTATGTAGATCTCCATTACTTAAGCACATTATTTAAAAAGCATTGCTGTTCAGTCACTTACATTAAGGTGTGCATTGGTGTATATGTGTCTTCTGTGTCTGTTCCCAGGCTTTCCAGTATTTGACACAAGTGACAGGCCTAATAAATGCCTATTGAATTGACAGAGTGAATTTAGAGTTTTCAATTAAATGAGTGTTGTTTGCCAGCATTGGCGTAAATGATGAGCAATTAATGGTCGTTGGTACTTGAGTTGGCCTTCAGTGTAGTTTATACACTCCATTTATTAACTGAGGAGCCTGACCACGCAGAAGAGGCCACTTAGCTGTTACTTAGCCATTACAATGGCAAGGAGTTGAATCCAGGTTTCTCTCTTAGCACTTTATACTTAGTTGGTGCATCCTAATCTTTCCTTCCCTGGCATGCTTAGAATACTATGTTTGTACAGCACATGGGGAACTTGGAGATAACTCATTCAAAGACCGTCAGCTCTGTTTGCATTGAGGTCCCACTTCACTCAATACAGAAAGAGACAGCTGCAGCATTTGTAAAAGATAGGTACAGAGCTCTGCCTTGGCATACGAGGCTTTACTTAGTCTAGTTTATAGTGTGTATTTCTGCTTTGTAGAATGTTTTTGATTGATAGAATTTAGAGTAAGATTGTATTTGGAATGGAAACATGGCCCAGCAGTTAAGAATACATACTGCTCTTCCACAGAATTTCGCCTTAGTCTGTAGATATTTCAGGGCAAATACATTACTGCAGCTTTTTTGACAACTCACTTAAATGTGGATGAGCTAAGTTTGGGTACTAGTGGAGATGAGGTTGTATCAGTGAGAAAAACTGGCTACAAGTTGTATATCCTTAGCATTTCAGGGTGGATGTCTTCTCAGGATATGTTTTGTAGTCAATTCTTTGAGGTGAACCCAATTGCTAACGTGTCTGCTGTTTTTCTTCCAGTATGGGTGGTATTGGGGATGGGGCCTATCAGATGTGATTCCTCATGAAAGAATCTACTTGTCAGTGGGTGAATGCTCTGTACTGTGGCTTTTCTACCCCTCTGCTTGGAAGATCTGGGTAAAAGGTACTGGCTTTGGAGAACAAATGGGCCAACACCAAAGAAGCTGCTGGCATTTTCCAGCCTGCAGAACTAAAAACCTTAATTTGTATTGTTCACAAATTGCCCACTCTGTGGATTTTGGAGCAGGACACAGACTTATAGACCAGCTGCCTTTTGTAAGAGAGAAATGGTGCAGGATTGTCATCCTCAGTTTAATTGTAGAGCTCATTTAAAATCACCTTGGCCCTAAGCTCCAACCTGAAAAGGTAAATGTAGTCATTGTGTCTTACTTCAAATAGGAAACCCTTAAGCGTTTCTGCACTAAATCTGAATACTCAAGGGTTACAACGCAGACAGTTGTTTCTGCAGTCGACGGTTAATAAATGTAGCATGGAAATGTTATTGCTGACAATAAGCTACTATGGTTGATTTTTAAAGCTGAATTCTGTTTTTTCTTTTAGAGAAAAGATAGCCCAGTTCATAGTAATCAGATGTGTAATGAATAGAAATAGTTATTGAGGGCTGGAGAAATTGCTTAGTGGTCAACAGTTGCTACAATTCTAGAGGGTCAGAGTTTGTTTCCCAGAACCCATGTTTGGCTGCTTGCAACTGACATAACTACCAGGGTAACGCAATCCCTCTTCTGGTCTCCTTAGACACCCACAAACATGGGTTTTTAAGCATAAATTTTGAAAGAACCAGGGTGAGACTGCCTTTTGAACATCTGGAATAAAAGTTTGAAAATTTACTGAGGGCTGTGCCTTACTATAGGCAGTGCACTACTGTAACAGGATACCACAGGTTGGGTCAAATAAAAATGACTGCCTCACAGTTTTGGAGTCCTGGAAGCCCAGTGTCAAAGTTCCAATGCCTAGCAAGGGCCTTCTTGCTACTTTATCACATGGTGAAAACAATTGAGGAAAATGGGATATTTGTTTATCATACCACTTTATTGAGGCAACAGCCCATTGTCTAAGCCCATCTTTAAAGATCCCACTTAACTATTACTGTTCCAATAAGAAGCATGAGTTTGGGAGGGGAAAGCCAGACCACAGCAGAACATTCTGTAAAAGTGATGTAAATACCAAAATATGTCTGTTACTATGTAGTGAGGTGTTTAGTAACAATCCCTAGTTATCAATGCTAAATGGAGAAGGGACAGAGACAGCTAGGAGCAGTGTTTCTTTTTTCCCACTTTTCACTACCCTACTCCTTTATATGCTTTCTTTTACCTTTATGTGTTACTGTTTTTGCTAATAAAACATCGTTTGATTAAAAGCTGAGTGTTGTTATTTTAAATTCTTATGTGAAGAGGGATTTAAGGTCCCAGTATTTAAAAGGCTACTTTGTGTCTACAAGCAGTATTCTCAAGTGCTATGATGTTTTGAAGAGATACAGGCTCAAGCATAGTGTATTTTTCATGTTTCTTTTCAATACTAATGGCTGGTCATTGATTTTATGAATCTATTTTAATTTCTGTTTATTTTTGTTTTTTAATTTTTTATTAATTACAGTTTATTCATTTTGTATCTCCCCCTTTAGCTCCCTCCCTACTCCCTTCCCAATCTTCACCCTCCCTCTCCCTTGTCCCACCCCAAGTTCACTGATAGGGAGGACCTCCTCTCCTTCCTTCTGATCCTAGTCTATCAGGTCTCATCAGGAGTGGCTGCATAGTCTTCCTCTGTGGCCTGGTAAGGCTGCTCCCCCCTCAGGGGGAGGTGATCAAAGAGCAGGCCACTGAGTTCATGTCAGAGACAGTCCCTGTTCCCATTACTATGGAACCCACTTGGACAGTGAACTGCCATGGGCTACATCTGTGCAGGGGTTCTAGGTTATCTCCATGAATGGTCCTTGGTTGGAGTATCATTGTTTTAAGGGATTTTAATTTTTTCCTTTCGATTTCTCTTTTTTTTCCATTTATTTTATCCAATTTACATCCTTGTAGCTCCTTCCCTCCTCCCCTTCTAGTCCTCCCTCCCTCTTTTCTCAGCAAAGGAGAGTTTTTCTTTCCCCAGATCATCAAGTTGCATCAGGACCCCTTGCCCAAATTTTTTGGTTCTGTTGCTCTCCTTGTGGAGCTCCTGTCCCCTCCAGGTCTTTCTAGCTCCGCCTTCTTTCATAAGATTCCCTGAACTCTGCCCAAAGTTTGGCTATAAGTCTCAGCATCTGTTCTGATACCCTGCTGGTAGGCTCCTGTCCTGTTTCCTGTTTTCTCCCTCTTCTGATATCTATCTTCTTTGCCTTTCTGAATGGGATTGAGCATCGTAGCCAGAGTCCTCCTTGATTAGTTTCTTTAGGTGTACAGATTTTAGTATGTTTATCCTACATTATATATCTAATATCTACTTATGAATGAGTATGTACCCTGTGTATCTTTCTGGGTCTGTGTTACCTCACTCAGGATGATCTTTTCCAGTCCCCACCATTTGCCTGCAAATTTCATGATTTCCTTGTTTTTAATTGCAGAGTAATATTCCATTGTGTAGAAATACCACAATTTCTGTATCCATTCCTCAATTGAGGGGCATCTGGGTTGTTTCCAGCTTCCGGCTATTACAAATAAAGCTGCTACAAACATGGTTGAGCAAATGCCCAACCATGTTTGTATACTTGAGCATCTTTTGGATATATGTCTAGGAGTGGTAAAGCTGGATCTTGAGGAAGCGCTATTCCTAATTGATGAAGCACCAGATGGATTTCCAAAGTGGTTTTACAAGTTTACAGTCCTACCAGCAGTGGAGTAGGGTTCCCCTTTCTCCGCATCCTCTCCAGCATGTGCTGTCACTTGAATTTTTGATCTTAGACATTCTGGTGGGTGTAAGGTGAAATCTCAGGTATATTTTGATTTGCATTTCCCTGGTGACTAAGGATATTGAGCATTTCTTTGTTTCTCTGCCATTCTGTATTCCTCTACTGAGAATTCTCTGTTTAGCTCTGTGCCCCAATTTTTTAATTGGATTACTTAATTTGTTGCTGTTTAACTTCTTGAGTTCTTTTTATATACTGGATATTAGCCCTTTGTGAAATATAGGGTTGGTGAAGATCCTTTCCTAATCTGTAGGCAGTCTTTTTGTTTTGACGACAGTGTACTTTGCTTTACAGAAGCTTTTCAGTTTCATGAGGTCCCATTTATTAATTGTTGATCTTAGAGCCTATGCTCTTGGTGTTCTGTTCAGGAAGTTGTCTTCTATGCCAATGAGTTTAAGGCTTTTCCCCACTCTTCTGACAGGTTTAGTGTGTCTGATTTTATATTGAGGTCTTTGATCCACTTGGATTTTAGTTTGGTACAGGGTGATAAGTATGGATCTATTTGCATTTTTCTACATGTAGACATCCTGTTAGACCAACACTACTTGTTGAAGATGCTATCTTTTTTCCATTGAATGGTTTTGGCACTAGCAAACTCCTTCTATGAAGTCACAGTCACCTTGATACCTACACCTCACAGAGATACAACAAAGAATTTCAGGCCAATCTCCCTTATGAACATTGATGCAAAAATACTCAACAAAATACTTGCAATCCGAGTACAAGGACACATCAAAGATATCATCCACTACGACCAAGTAGGCTTCATCCCAGGCATGCAGGAATGGTTCAATATACGGAAATCCATCGATGTGATCCACCATTAAACAAACGGAGAAAAACCATATGATCATCTCCTGAGATGCTGAAAAAGCATTTGACCAAATCTAGCATCCATTCATGTTTAAAGTCTTGGAGAGATCAGGGATACAAGGCACATACCTAAACATAGTAAAGGCAATATACAGCAAGCCTATAGCCAATATCAAACTAAACGGAGAGAAACTTAAATCAGTCCTATTGAAATCAGGGACAAGGCAAGGCTGCCCACTCTTTCCATATCTCTTCAACATAGTTCTTAAAATCCTTGCTAGAGCAATAGGACAATTAAAGGAGATCAAGAGGATACAAATAGGAAAGGAAGAGGTCAAAGTATCACTATTTGCAGGTGATATGATAGTATACCTGAATTACCCCAAAAATTCTACCAGGTAACTCCTACAGCTGATAAATACCTTCAGCAAAGTTGCTGGATATAAAATAAAAAAATTAGTAGCCCTCCAGTATACAAAAGA